ATTGGGTGGTGTTTTAAATGAAAACAATAAGGAGACATGTGCCATATTGTTTCAAATATTACCATTGGTACCATCGTGTCCTATCTTATTTTTAATTCAAATAAAACAAAGAAATGGTAGAAGCTTGTAAATACTTTTATGTTCAAAACGTTGCAAATTAATATCTGGGAACATCAAAAAAAATGTATGTTGTTCACATGGTAAGCAAAAAATGTTCCGAGATAAAAGTTACAACCAATTTCCAACGTCAAGCATCATGATGCTTACATGTCTGGAATAATGCAGGCAAAATCAGTTTTGATATACAATGTAGTTGAATACAATTGGATCTTAATTATATTCTACAAAATATTAACGAAGACCAACAGCCAAACACTACACCAAAATAGAGAGAAACAAAATTCTATAAGAAAGCCAAACACCTGAAAAGTGAAAATGCCACAGTCTCAGTTTGATTAAGCCTGTTTTTTGTTACTTAAGTGATAATTACAAGTTAACGTCCAGTTCAAAGCACAATCTTAAAACATCCTTGCCCCTCACCGCTGTGGGTTCAAATCCCGACAGGGACTTTGGATTCTTTCATGTGAGGAAGCTATCCAGCTTACGGAACGTCGGTGGTTCTACTCAGATGCCCGTTCGTGCCTGAAATAATGCACGGAAGGGCACCTGAGGTCTTCCTCCACCAGTAAAGTTGGAACATCGCGATACGACCTTTACTGTGTCGATGTGATGTAAAACCCAATCAAAACAAAAAACAAATTCAAACATCCTTAACTGCTCCATACGTAAATAGACTACATTTTTATAGATAATATAATTAAAACCTATGTCATAAGTATGAACCTAAGGATAACGTATATATTTTGTATATGTTCCTATCAGTCTATTGAAGACTAGATACCTTACAATTATCAACTTTGTAATTGTGTTACTTGCAGGTGCCCGTCTGTCCTAAGTCAATACAACAACTGGTCTGATGACAGTGTTTGTGTATTCATTTTTTTTAGCTAAGTAATCTTAGATTTTGTCAAAACTGTCTTCCGTCAGAAAGTTTTCTCGTTGATACAGGCACATTTGTAAGGTTTTGATAAAGTTATACGGTCTATGAGAAAATAGTATCGATTGGTTTTATCTGTAACAAAGCATTGATTCCATAGCAATCCCTTCACGTTTTGTTAATATACTTTTAACTAAACATAGAACCTTCTTAAATTAAAATAATGTATGCATAGCTGCTATTCCGATTAGTTTATCAGATTATGTAAGAAGAAGGAAATCGTGCAATTATTTTATATTACCTTAACTAAGTCACAAAAACGAATATCCTTTAAAATTTGTTAGATGAATCGACATTCTAGGCTTCGGAATGTAGAAGCTATAATAATGAAAATAATATATGTACTAAGAAGGAATACCGCCAATTTTGTTTACTTTTAATATGGTTGTTTTTGAATATTTCTTTCCTTATTTCCAAAACATTTGATATTATTCTTCATTGATATATAGATTTACATAAAGGTTGTTTTATTTTAAACGAGACCTATTAGCTTGATCAACAGAACACCTTGCGTACCGTATCAATATTGCATTAAATGCTTATTCCTTTTTTTAAAAGTTTGTCGTGTGCCTTTAAATTTGGGGCAACTTAATGCGATTTTCATTAAATTGTAAGTCGTAAAATGAATTTCGTATGATCTAACATGTTCAAATATTTTCGTAAATGAGCAAAAATGTAAAAGTTATTTTGTTTTGTCTGAATAGTTTTAAAAGAATTAGTTGCACATGACTTAAATATAAAAAGGTAAACACTGATTGGAAAAGGGTCGCTGCTTTTAAGCTAATCACATTATATTCAATTATTTCGAGGTTTCAAGTTACAACAAAAGCTATATTTGAGCCAAACATAATGACTGTACTTATATGTTTTTCTTGATTCGTTTAATTCTGATAAGCATAACAAGTCTAATGCTTATGCAACCAGATGTCCTTTAACTACATGCGTATGTGCATTTCCAATATATTTAAAGGGGATGAAATGTGTGTACAATAAAGATGTTGTACAGTATAATTCCTTGAATTTTTTGTAAAGTTTTATAATGCATGTATTTTGATCAAATTGTTATCTTATAACGTTTAGACCTTATGCTATTGTTAAAACTATATCCACGGCCGTCGTTTGAGTCATTTTCTGTCGTTGCCTCTTTACACTATTAATCAAATTCAAAATATATCTTATTGGCTTCTTCGAGCAATGCTGAAATATATCCGGTCATTCAAGACATCCGACATGGCTTTTACGTCTCGATATGATATTTATATTTGTTCTTTTATTTGTATTTTATTATTTAAATATAAACAGAAAACTAGTCTCCACTCATGAATTGATTTGGTAAAATAAGTTGTAAGACCAGTATTTTAAAACTTTTGACATAACTTCTATTTCTTTTAACATGATTTAAACGACAATAAAAATCCATCTCATTTAGAAACTAAGTTTCAAAACTTCAAAACTGATATCTATCTCACTCCGTGTGAGACGAAATACTAAATCTTTTGAACTTCTTAATTACTTTTCGTCAGCTGCCTCACACCGAGTCATCGTTAATCCGATATATACGAGTAAAAGACATGTTTTAAGGATTTTTATACCAAGTAATTGATCGCCCCTTTGTTTCAACGATAATTTATCTAAAGGCTTTATCTCAAATTTTGTCTTTAATTGAGCACAAAGTGTGTTAGGGTTCCTGTTGTGTTGCACCTAACCCGAACTTGATCACGAAAAATGGTGGAGAGTCACAAATGTTTTGATAAACTGAACTTTGAATATGTTTCAAATTTATATTCGTGATTAAATTGAAAGCTTGAATCCTTTCTATAAAGACATATAAAACATTTTACTTCCTATGGCATTCTGACGCAATATTTCATTACACCTTAGAGAGAGTGAGCAAAACAAAAATGAAAGTCGTGAAAAGCAAGAGCAAAATAAATATACACATTTCACTCAAATATCCATAAAAGGAATCGAAATGCATTCATAAAAAGAATACTAATTCAGTTATTTTAGCTATTTTAGTGATTGTCTATAATCAGATCTACTGTCACCAGAACATTACCATGAACACGAAATACCTTCATTTCCAGTTCAGACTAACCAGTGCTAACGTAAACAATATCCGACCTTTACACTAGTTTTGTATGCATTTAGATTATTCATTGTGATTATAAACCTTTTCTATAAGACTTGTTTTGAAACGTTAAGGGGAAAAATATACATAAGAAGTTAATTTATTTAATAAGTATGCGGCATTTTATAAATATCAACTAAGGAATTGTTTGACAGTCTTCTTTGATACTTTCAATCATATTGAGATTTCAATGAATGTTTATTCAGTCGTTTGCGATAGGTACATTATCATGCTTGACAACATTATACATATCAATTAATATTTCTTAATTAATTTCATCACAATTAGTCTAAAAGTCTTTAGAGGAATTGTTTTCATAATTTTGATACCCCCTTCTTAAAATTGTCATGGTCATCAGACAGAAACTAGTTGAGGTATTTTGGATAAAATCAGGCTCATATGAATATTATCTAACGGATGAGGACATGATTTATTTTAAGAATTATATCCCTTACATTTAACAAACTATTTTTTCATAAAATGTCTTATATAGTTGTAAGAGAAATATCTATCTGATAATCGTTCCTGTAGTGTTGGACCAAATATTTCTTTACAGTGAAGGAAATGTATTATTTCCCAAAAATATCAATATTTATATCTGTCAATCCGGAAAATATACTCCCTTTTGAAAGAGACGCGACAATTGACTACAGGGTTGAAGCCTGCATTTATTTTAATGAACCAAACAATCAATCAAACGCCAAGAAATAATATTTTCCGTCATGGTGCAATTCCTTAGAAAAAAGAGAAGAAAACGTGCTCTTCTAGTGGCATATTTCTGAATAAAGGACATAAAGGATGACTATATTTGTGTACAACCCGTTTATTAAAAACTAGAAATGGCTCGTATGACATAATTCCTTACCCCCAGGGAAACAATGCGGTTTTGTTAAAAAAATCTTTATAAATAGTATAATAAATTCCGAGTTCAAGAATGAAAGGAAATACATTTTCTATCTGTGTTTTACCATAAAGAATTTGATGATCCAAGCTCATGCAATTTTGAACAAATCTTGGAATACTTTAAGCAAGTTTTCAAGCTAAGCTCTGTCATCTGGCTCTGTCATCATTTCCATAATAGATGATAGGTTTTAAAGATTTAAATACATTTTATAAATGTTTGATATTTGCACGTGACAGATATAACACCAATTTCAATTGCTTTTTTGTTACGTGTTGTAAAGATTATGACCAGGGTATATATTAAAACAACAACATGTTAAAACTTTATCAATGCAAATTAATGACGCAGTCTTTGCGCAATGGACTGACATGGCAGATAACAAATCATCTTTATCAGTTTCTTTCCTTTTAACTTATATTTTTCAACTATATCTTGTGAAATATTAACAGATCATGAATTTGAAAAGTGTATTTGTGTAGACAAAAAAAAATATTGTAAAATTTAAAAAAAATTCTGGGGAATAGTTATTAGGTTGAAGTTACATATGGCTGAACATTTTTAGTTTAAATTAATGAATTCAACTGTTGCTTGTTGTAAATGTCAGAGTGCGGTGTCGTACGACGTGAAACAGTGCATAACATATTTATGTCGTTTATAATGAATATTAAACCAGTTTGTAAAGTTGCCAATATCGTGAGAAAGGCTTTAAACCAGTCGTCTCGTATAAGATAAGTGTTGATTGTATTTATCTATTTACTTGCTTAAACAATAAAAGGTTTTATGGCGACTTTCCAGTTAAACAGGCTACTTTCCGTGCATAACTCCAAAAAAGAAAGGACACTTGCGTACATCAAACGACGTTCTGGAAGCTTGCATTAAACCGTCCGCACATAAAACATTCAAAAGTCTCTTTTACACTTGTTTATTACTTACGTACAAAAATGTCAATCTGATTACATAAAATACAGGTTTGGTATGATACTTAAATTGAATTGCTGAACATCTTCTCAATTGATTCTAATAATTTATAAAAAATGTCACGATACTGAGACAAATTTTGTGTCGATATTCTATATTTATACTTTTGTGCTGCCCCTCTTACGATTTAACAAAACAAGCTAGAACGTAATCAGCAAAGTTACGTGAAATACTGTTATATACTACTGTAGAGCTTAAGTTATTTGCAATACAAGTATATTGTAAAGATGAAACAGTCATTTAAATTTCCTTTTACTTGGATCTGTGTAAGCAATTTAAAAAGGAATGAACCTTAGTTTATCCAGTGAAAATATAGCTATATATAATTCAAATATGTTGCACAAAAATTCCACGTGAGATGAAAATAGACTTAACCTTTGATCTCCTCAACATCTGGGTATGTTTCAGTAAAACTGGATAGAGTTTACAGTTCTTTTTTATGTAACTTAAATCGTTACTGTCCCTGATTTATGTAGACACAACGTTTTGAACTTTATATTTGCTATATAATAATGGGCTTCTGTGGCTAAGTGGTTATTGTCGTTGACTTCTAACAACTTACCCGCAATGTAATAGATTCGAACCCCCGATAGAAACTCTTGAATTCTTTCATGCAGGTAAGGTATTAACAAATTATACGGAACGTTAAAAACGAAAACTAGATATTGTTACGATATTTTTCCAATCTTTTTTATAAAAAGTAGAATATTTCATTAGGTACACTAACAAAATTCAACATTATGATATGTAAGCTGTAGTGACGAATAATAACATTTTAAACAACTCGTATCAGTTAGCCGGAATAATTCTAAAACATTCATATACACGTTATACATGGTAACATCAAGTAGGTTATGACACGTGTTTATAAAAGGTTTATGTGCAAAAGCAAAAATTTACTTTGTTGAGTAGGTATCTGATGTTTTATCAAACGAATTATAGATTTCTATCTGAGGGCGAGATAAAGTACATTTAAAGAAATTGAATAATATTTTTAAAAACCCAAACATTTTAAAAGGAATAAAGGCATAAAAAGAAAGGAATCGAAAGAAAATCGTATTAATATTTTTATCTCTTTACACCCTGTATACATATTTGTTTCGAGTCTTATTGCTAAGAATTTTTATATACCACTATGTACAATAATTATAAATGTATTTCATCCATGACTTAAAACTAACGTGCTACTGCAGACTTATGTCTGATTCAATTACTTTCAAAGTAAATCATTTTAAAGTTCCATGGTTACTGGAAATTTCAAAAAAGCTAAACTGTGTGTGTGTGTTTGTGTGTGGGTGTGTGTGTGTATGGGTGTGTTGGTGGGTGTGTGTTCGCGCGCGCGTGTGTGTGTGCGCGCTTGCGCGCATGTGCGTGTGCATGTGAACTTAAAATTGCTGCATTCGTACAGAATCATATTTATCTCAGTTTTCGAAGACATTTTAATCGGCTTTTTTGTAAGACATTACAAGTACATACAATATACCCCGCCCGCCAGAAATAATAAAACTTTCCTAACACTTGTAACATGAATGTACACATTAACATTTCAAGTATGCTTGTGTTTTGGTGCGATGTTTTTAAATTATATTCTTATTCTTTTTTTTCTAATTCGTATACAGTATAAAAAGTCATCATTTTGATAATACCGTATTTTTACTTTAATGTTCTTCCTCCGTTCACTATTATTTCACTCTAATGTTTCACTAGCAAAAATTATACATACTGAAGGAAATGTAATATAAAATTGATTTATGTATGGTCTGTATCCATTTCAAAATAAACTAATTTATAAGCGTTTGCAATAGGTTTAATGAATTTGTTACGTGAATTTATTGTGTGTCTATGTAACTAAGTGACTCCGATGGCGGGGCCATTTTTGACAAAAGGGTGTGGTTTAAATAAGGACCACACGGATATGCTTTATGCAAATTTTTAAGATCTGGGTATGGTTATTTCAGGATAAAAATGTTTGAGACTCTTTTACTTTACAAGTCTATTTGAAAAGAAATACCCCCGTTTATGGCCATTATTGACCCGGTGAACATGCATTTATAACCGTTACTTCCGGTCATGACCAAACGATCAGGACGAGCCTGCTTAACTTTAAATAATGCAGTTTTGAGCGATAAAAGTAATTAATACTATTACGTGTTGTTATATGAAAGTTACGTATTTTTATGCCGTGGATCGCCTTTTCGTTTTTCAGTCAGACACATGTCTTAGGAGCAGTATGTTGTTTGTGTAGAGAAGTAGCTTTTACAGTACTTTGCTACTTACAAAGTTTGGTAATCATCCATCAATAAGGTCAGTATAAAAGGTGTTTATAATTTAAGATCTAGTGGCTACTAACAGGGGACAATTCAATTTATTTGAATAAATGTGATGTCAGACCATTTAAGAATGCTACGGACAAAGTTTAATGATCATCCATCAATTAGTTTTGTAGACAAGAATATGTGTTTAAGTTTTTTTTCTCTATTTTTAGCTCCGTGGAAACCTAAAGTTAAAATGATCTGAGCAAATAGAAGTATGACTGTCACAAGGATGTAACGAACCAAATTTGAAGAGCATTTACCCAGCACTTTCAGATTAGAAGATTAATGTAAACGCACGACGACGAACGACGGATGCCGGAGCATCCCCCTTGATACTTATAGTTCACCCTGAATCTTCGGCAATATATATTACAAAGATTTCTATCAAAGAATACATACGATTAGTTATTTCGATGATCATTATCAACTTATTTCTTATATGCACTTGGTGTGCCCTTTGATTTCTTTATGCAGAATAATATCATATTTGACATTATTATATCCATTGTTCTTCACATTGAAAATCTATCATACACATACTAGAAAATGAATATCCGTTTCTACACAAGTGCTTGTTTATCCATTTTTGAAGCATTGTATTTATTCGTGTATATCCAGTCATGTAAGGTATTAAGATTAAACATTATATTTTATTTGAATCACTTTTACATACATAACTTAAAAATTGAAAAACCATTCCCCGAACAATTATTTCTGGTGGATGTATGTCAAATGATCTTTTGGCAATAGTTGCATCTTTCTGATCCAACACAGTTATTTTATCATATAATCCATTAAAGGTTTTGCGCATGATATGAGTAAAGATAAACCCAATATAATCATTTTGTCTGAGTTTCCATTCCTTATCCTTCCATCTTCTGTATGTATGTGGTAGTTTAAAGAACACTTTAACATTTGTTTTCGTTTTGAAGATCCGCTCTAAGCTCCTTTTTATTTCTAACATGTTAGCAGCAAAATGACTATAATCATACTGTTGTAAATGAACATACAAATTTAGAACCAACAGAACTTCATTCCGTGAATTTGAGTATGATTTAATGAATTCCTCAAATGAAATTATTTTAAACATATCATACAGACCTTTCTTTGTAAAACTGCTTACAGGAATATTATGGCCCTTAAAACACATTGTAAGGTTTAATTTGTGAAACGTGCATGTTTCAGGATTAAGCCAACCGTGCGTTCCTATCGAACTTTTGCATACGGAATAACTGTCAATAAGTAGTTTCTTTTTGAAATATACATACCATTGATAGAGGGTAGAGTCTCCCCAAAACAGCATAGTTTTATTTCTTAAGCACTCTCCGTCTAAGTGTTCAATACCTGTTTAAAAGATTCATTATTAAAATAATTTTACAAAAAAGAAATCAATTTGGTAATCAAATAATAACAGTTTTTGTTACTTTAGGATCTCGACTGTTCAACAAAGATCATTTATCATCCATTGTCATTTAAATGGATAGACAGGTAAATTAGATCTGATTTTTAACAGGAAAATTGTTATATTAACATATGTTAAAACATCCAAGCTTTTGTACGAGTACGATAATTTTACACAAAATCGACTTACATTATCTTTATGTTTGCACATTATATACCTTACCTTTACAATGAGCAATAATCCATTTATTGTTGTAAAAATATCCTGATGGTTTGTCTTGGAACCATAATTTAGTGTTATTATAATTCAAACAGGAAATGTTTGTTCCTTCAAACGCGTCATCCATTTTCCTTGGTAATATTTTTAATGTTATGTTGGATGGTATATTTGTTTGTCCATCTCTTAAAAAGAGGAATAGAAGTGTATATACGACGGCAACATATATGATCATTATGAACTGTCGCCAGGTAAATGTGACGGACTTTTGATCTAGTGACAACAACAATTATTGGGGTTATCTTCTGGTCATGACTGGTCACTAGGTCAATGTGACCGTAAAGGTTGTATGCAACAATTTTATGACAAAGATATCTCAGATCTTACCAAATAATGTATGCATTAAATGTATTAATCAATTAGACGTACTTAACGACAGCCAATTTTATATACTTGTATTACATTAGATATTGACATGTGTATAACATTGATAAAAAATATCAACCAAAGCAGCTTGACTAGTTGAGTTATTGGTCGGAAACCGTTTTTACGTATAGGGGTCAATCTAACTTTGATTTTTGACCCTTCAATCAATAGGGGTTAACTACTGGCTAAGTCCAATGCACCTGTGAAGTTTGAAGATCAAAGTCACATGTGTTGTTGAGTTATTTATTGGAAACAATTTGATTTTCAAAAATGTGGCTGACCGACCGCCAGACAAATGCAAATCAATATCCCCCTTGGCAATATATTTGAAAGAAGGCAGAATAAATCTGACAGGTATCCGTTTAGTAGACAAGTAGACAATGAGTGAAACACTTTAAAATACATAAGCGAAAGCTTCTATTCATCACGTAAACATATTACAAGGAAATTGAAAATGAGGTTCAATTTCATACACATTTTGTAACGCCACATAAAAACAATTGACATAGTTTACGCAAACTTAAAAAGGAAAAAAAACAACAACAAAAAAAAAAAAAAAAAAAAAAAAAAAAAAAAAAAACATCAATGGCCTTAATTTTGTTAGGAGGGTTATTTACATTATCTAAGTAAGCTACTGTTACAGTCAACTAATAAAATACAACACTGTCGATTTATTGGTTTGTTATTATTTTACAGATACACTTCAAACTTTGTTCGCTTTTTGACTAAGAATAATATGATACCGAAAATCATTTAAGAAAAGAAAAAGGGAAAGGAAAGATGGAAATTTGTGATCGGCAGGAAGTAACATGGTGTTTGGTGGCATTCTCTTGATAGGGTTCTGTTTAAAAAAAATCCATGTTGACGAATGCTCACTATAATTTCAAACGTTTCTTTGAATATGATAAACAAGATCAACAAGGAAAGGCGGCGTTCAATGAACGCAACCCCCATATGACCTAGCAACAAGAACCATGGCAAGGAGCCCAGGCGGACCCCAAACAAAAACAGGACAGGGCAAAGACAGAGCACGGACAGGTTAATCATTAAATGAAACGGTCTCGTTACATTGGGACTGTAAATGGCACTGCTATATTAAGTAACTATTCATTTTCTAATGATCTAAAAATAAATATGTGTGATGCTATCAATATTAGGAGTTAAATATGACACAATTGATAATTGGTAGTATATATAAAAAGTAATATCTCCTTAACATACAGTGCTAATATTATTGCAAATTGTTCGATACCTATCGTTTGTTGCTCACTGCCAATCCAATACTGTGTTATATTTTCCCTTTCTAGACAGCACATATTTGCACGGTATGCATAATATAGGCCAACAATGACACAAACAAAAAATGGGACCAACTATTTTAAGTGACTTTAATTAGACACTTGCTTTGGCAAAATATTTTTTCTTTTCTTTATTTACTGAGTTTAAGTTAGGGCTAGGGGACTAGTAGCTTATATTTTCCAACTTGAACAGGCACAGAGCCTTATTTTTTCAATTTCACCGTTATTGAGGGATTGTTTTATTCTCTTGTAGGGTTGTGCTTGAACGTGCTGCACATATTGGATGCGTTGCATTTCTTACACTAACTTAAAACCGTAAAGCGGGTCTTCCTTAAATTGCTTTGTTACAGGTTCAAAGGAACTCCACTGAGGTCTCAAACCCAAAACATTATTTTTAATTTCTTACATTGATCAAATGTGGCATTTAAAAGAGAAAGATATGCAATATATGAATAAGAAGTATACTCAGTAATAAAATGAAAACGTATTAGTTCTTTATCATATTTCAGTAAAGAGCGTTGCAGCGTAACGCACATTTAGGTCTTAATTCACAAAATGAATCATAATTCTGGAGAAACGGAGTAAGCTTATGACCTGAAATTTTGTAAAAAAAAGTTTTTGTTGAAAATCTTCAGCAAAGGATCAATTATCTCGAAAATTTATTTCCAGTCTGGTTATGTCAAAAACCTCTGTTGTGTCCCTTTCATATATATCTAAGATAAAACAGATGACCTGACGTAACAATATAAAACACGTTGATAATACAAACAAAAGAACTGCTTTATTCTTTGTATACAGGTGAAAGACATATTTAATGAAATATATTGTGTTTATGGGAACAATGAACTTTCTTTTTCAACTGTCCCACGGTTTTGTTAAGGATTTAAGAGTGGTGTGGTTTAAGTTGCAACTCATACATGCAGTCCGAAAACTGCAACTTGTTGATCTTGTTTTTCTATTTTCGCCAAATATTGTTGAAAAGGTACAAGATTTTATTGCTACTGATGCAAGATTTACAACTATGTATATAACCAAATGCCCTGGTACATCTTTTAGAGCCGCTTATACAATTCCCAGACGTGGGTAAACAATGAAAAGGATAAGTGAAAGATAGATACCCCATCCCTTTTACAAAGAGCAAATACTTGGTCGGTAAAGCATCTCCAAACAATTGTTGAAACAGTTCATCAAATACAGCAATCGATCTTTTGAAAATATCCTTACTGACCACGAGACTCGGGTTCACTTTTATGAGCCGAAGCGAAATATACATTACAATATACTGGCAACCAAAGGAAGTCAAAGATATAGCATGGAAAATGCATTAACGTCAATAGGGTCATGAATGTATATTTCTTTACCAATCTAGTCCTGCTAATCAAATCGCCGCACTAAGGGTTATTCTGTAAATTCCTCCTAATTCGCCAGATCTTGCCCTAAATGACTTTGCCTATTCCCGAGGCTCAAAAACACATTGCTGGCGCAAAACATATCTTGGTTCGGCTATTTTCTGAACAGTATACCTCGAAAAGATTAAGATAATGCATATCAATATTAAATTAAAAGGCTTAAACATCGTATATCACATGGTTGTGAGTATTTTGAAGTATTGAAATAACCATGTGATCACAGTTTCTCAAGCCCTTATGAAAACTGACCCAGTCGCATTCATATTTGAACACCCTCGTAATATCTTAATTTTCATTTTTCTTTTGTTATTATTTTCATCGGTTTATTTATTTTCTTTTGATAGGGCTAAGGTAAGCATTAGCTTTAAATATGACCCACAAACGCGTTATGAACTTTATTAGCGGTATTTAAACTAAGCCAAAGGACACTTAGTTTACATATAGAAAATCTTATTGTTTGAATGTATGTTTGAAAATCAACTAAATAATTCCAATGTTCTTCGTTTGCAACATTGTCTTAATTACTCATTATGTAGGTAATGTACATATTATGCTTCTCTGGCAAAAGGGAACAACAGCAACAACACCTGCGATTATTTTAATCTTGCAAATTCTTTGAGTTGTACACAATTAAAAACAAAACCTCAGAGGCTACATTGTTGTATTCTTAGATTGATACGTAGGGCAGTGATAAATAATCACCGAATTTATCAACATATTGTCTAAGGTACGTTGCCTTCGGCATCCACCGTTTTTTATGATTTAAAATGGAAATGATAGATCACAAGAAATAAAGGCTTTAGATTTAATTTTTTTTAAATAAACAGTTTTAATAAGGACATGATGATCTTTTTAAGCATTTGATCTGAGGTGAGCTAACTAACTATATTGCTCTAGTAGTTTTGTAAAGCAAAACTAATTATTGTGAATCAGTCAGTGCATTCTATAGTCAAGATAGGATGCATGCTTTACAAATGGGACATATTTAATGCATATTACTCAAAGAATTATATCTGAATAGTATAGCCATAGAAAAAAAACTTTTTATGGAGCACCGATACAATTCGATCGCATAGGAGTAATTTTTGCTACTTCAAAAGTATTTTAAACTGTATGTAGCCTTAAGATTAAGTGCAATGATTACAAAAAAAAATCGTATTTTCTGTTTCCTATTCTTCTAATGAAAAATATTTACATTCTACTCAATTTTTCTTCGCATTGACTGATTCCTTTCGTATAGTTTTCCAAAAAACGAGTAATTGATGTCCAGTGTTTACACAGCATATTGTTCGCAGGTCTTCCACAAAACCATTGCTGTGATGTGTTCCAGTATGCAAAGTGACACACTTTGGATGTTTTGGAGTATCTATGAACTGTTTTATAATCTGGACCACATGTTGTAATTTCGGTATAGTTGTTGTCCACAAAGATTGCAAACACGTCAGAAAAATCCTACAATAGCATTTCGTTTGATTAAAAGAAAATACTGTTAAGAAAACATTATTAAACGTTAGCAAAAATGTTCATTTCTTTTTTAAACTGCATTGTGTGTAGAATTCATTACAGGAAAATGCAATTTTCTCAGAACTAGGTACTCAAATAAAAATCAAATTATATATATTCAGATAAATAGTTCCAAAGTTATCTAATTTACAAATAATATATATTTTTAATATACCATACCCATGTTTTTCTTAATCTAATTGCAGTGCCAATAATTTCATGAGTGTACAAAACCTCTACTTCTATCTCTGCGTTTCCGATCCATAATGATGGAAAAGTTACAGTGTATGTGCCGTTGGCATGGTCTTCAATGCTTCCAGGTGTATATGCTCCTAGTGAATGATTGAATAAGCGTGCCCGTAAATGATCTCCTCCTGTGTCCTTGGGGTTACCGTATCCATTGTAGAGTACAATTGTAAAAATAATATCCTCTCCTAAAAAGACCGATCTTCTTCCTGTTTTCAAATCCATACGAATTAGAATGACAAACTATGTCATGAATATTCAGTGACAAATTAACTAGTTAAGATACAACAATTCATTAGAGAATCATATCAACAGCGTAACTTATCAAAAAGGAAATTTCGAACATTTAATTATTCTTGCATATGAAACATTCTCTAAATAATCAGAACAATTTTTGCTAACACATTCTTCTAATATGATCTTACTTTGAATTTCTTTTATTATTGTTTACAAACGTCAATTGTCACTTATGTTTAGTGGAAATATTTAGTTATTGCGTTATTGTGAAAGTTAAACAGTTGATATAATTTAATATGCTGATAAAAACACAACAACTCTTGACTTTATTTAAATTATTTCCTATTATTCAATCATATCAGTTACAAATTATTTATCATTTTAGTGATTAGCCCGTCCGTGCTTGGGGTCCACCTGGGTCTTTGCTAATGGTCCTTGTTGCTGGTCGTGTGGAGATTGCGTTCATGGAACGCCGCCTTTCCTTGTTGATCTTGTTTAACATATTCTATACAGATTTTGTGTTTAATATATAAAAATGTTTCGACATGTCCGATGCCCTAAACATGTTCATGCAAATAGATATATGTAACATGAACTAGATTTGTAGATTGAGCAATAAAACAAGAAAAAAATCAAATCATTCATTTTAACTACCTCGCGGCTCACGAAGCGGCCATTTCGGAACGAGTCCCGCGAGAAACATTCTTCCTTCAATTAGCGCTCCCCGTGGGGCTCGAACCCTCGACCTCCCGATCCGAAGGCGGATGCCTTAACCACTAGGCCAACAGTACCGGTATATGTATATGTTTTGCAAGTTTGAATTATTGTTTGGAAAAACTTCTTTCCATCTTACTTGGGGTTTTAGTTTCTCATTCTGATATTTCAGCCTTTTTAAATGTGTTAAATTCTTACTGATTTAACATATTCAAAATAGCAAATGCGAAGTCATGATATTCTTTCATTGCAAAATATGTCTCTGATTGCACATCATTTGTTTTATTTTTTTTATTTAATTGTATGTAGAATATATGTTGTTGCTTTAATGTACATTTTTATTCATATTTATATTGAAACAACTTTTAAGGGATTGCAAATACGTGTTACACATCAGTACTTTCTTGATTTTGAAAAGGAAATCTCGGCGGCCGCTTTAAAATATTATTTTTTCAAATACTCACATTGTTTTCGTTTAAAATGAAATTTGTGCCAAACAATTCTGCAATAGGGGCGTTCGTGGCCTTGTGGTTAAGGTCGTTACTTCCAAACAACTTGCCCCTAACCGCTGTGGTTTCGAATCCCGACAGTACTTTGGACCTATACTGTGTCGGTGTGACATAAAACCAAATTAAACAACAAGAAACACGTTTTCTTAAACTCTTTTTTCTGTATTCAAGTTTTACATATCATTTGTATATTTCAGATAGATAAAGATATTTATAAGTGTCAGATCTGCATATGTATTGAATGCACTTGTAAATGTTAGGTAAGTTGTTACGATCTATATGTAAACTCACATTGAAGGTTCCATGATAACCGCCGTATGAACACATCTGCGGATGTTTCTAAATTCAAAATTTTACTATTTCATGTTTAAATGTTGAATTCTGCTTAAGCCGGTGCTAGGGGGCGTGGACGGTAACTTGCACTTTCCAGTACCGTCCATGAACAGGCTCAATCAAACCGAGCCTGCAACATTTTCAATTTTGCCGTGTTGGGCTTTCTTTAGGGATTCTGTATTTATCTATTTTATGATCACATCCGTGTTATTTGTGCCGTGTGGCGGCTGTAAAAAGTCTCCCCGTACATTTAATCAATGATGTTATATTTTCGATCCTTAAAGATCGTTCAGCACGACATTATTGTTGTGCTTGTAGTATTTTTAGTTTCAACTTTTCGGCATTTTCTAGTTGGGTGGTTCCAATATTCCTACTTGAATAATGTTGAATCACCCTTAGGATATGTTGCCTGCTTTTTAAATTTGTCTTTTGACGTCTTATCTGTGATACGCAGGCTTTATAACCTCTGATCCCCTTTCAAAATTCCATTTTATTTAGTTCCGCCCATTGTTTTCTCGTTTAGGGCACACGCTTTTTATTACTTGGGGACCATACGCCGCTTTTCATGGAATGGCACGGAAGTGTCACATTGAAGGTTCCATGATAACCGCCGTATGAACACATCTGCGGATGTTTCTAAATTCAAAATTTTACTATTTCATGTTTAAATGTTGAATTCTGCTTAAGCCGGTGCTAGGGGGCGTGAACGGTAACTTGCACTTTCCAGTACCGTCCATGAACAGGCTCAATCAAACCGAGCCTGCAACATTTTCAATTTTGCCGTGTTGGGCTTTCTTTAGGGATTCTGTATTTATCTATTTTATGATCACATCCGTGTTATTTGTGCCGTGTGGCGGCTGTAAAAAGTCTCCCCGTACATTTAATCAATGATGTTATATTTTCGATCCTTAAAGATCGTTCAGCACGACATTATTGTTGTGCTTGTAGTATTTTTAGTTTCAACTTTTCGGCATTTTCTAGTTGGGTGGTTCCAATATTCCTACTTGAATAATGTTGAATCACCCTAAGGATATGTTGCCTGCTTTTTAAATTTGTCTTTTGACGTCTTATCTGTGATACGCAGGCTTCATAACCTCTGATCCCTTTCAAAATTCCATTTTATTTAGTTCCGCCCATTGTTTTCTCGGTTAGGGCACACGCTTTTTATTACTTGGGGACCATACGCCGCTTTTCATGGAATGGCACGGAAGTGTCACATTGAAGGTTCCATGATAACCGCCGTATGAACACATCTGCGGATGTTTCTAAATTCAAAATTTTACTATTTCATGTTTAAATGTTGAATTCTGCTTAAGCCGGTGCTAGGGGGCGTGGACGGTAACTTGCACTTTCCAGTACCGTCCATGAACAGGCTCAATCAAACCGAGCCTGCAACATTTTCAATTTTGCCGTGTTGGGCTTTCTTTAGGGATTCTGTATTTATCTATTTTATGATCACATCCGTGTTATTTGTGCCGTGTGGCGGCTGTAAAAAGTCTCCCCGTACATTTAATCAATGATGTTATATTTTCGATCCTTAAAGATCGTTCAGCACGACATTATTGTTGTGCTTGTAGTATTTTTAGTTTCAACTTTTCGGCATTTTCTAGTTGGGTGGTTCCAATATTCCTACTTGAATAATGTTGAATCACCCTTAGGATATGTTGCCTGCTTTTTAAATTTGTTTTTTGACGTCTTATCTGTGACACGCAGGCTTCATAACCTCTGATCCCCTTTCAAAATTCCATTTTATTTAGTTCCGCCCATTGTTTTCTCGTTTAGGGCACACGCTTTTTATTACTTGGGGACCATACGCCGCTTTTCATGGAATGGCACGGAAGTGTCACATTGAAGGTTCCATGATAACCGCCGTATGAACACATCTGCGTATGTTTCTAAATTCAAAATTTTACTATTTCATGTTTAAATGTTGAATTCTGCTTAAGCCGGTGCTAGGGGGGCGTGGACGGTAACTTGCACTTTCCAGTACCGTCCATGAACAGGCTCAATCAAACCGAGCCTGCAACATTTTCAATTTTGCCGTGTTGGGCTTTCTTTAGGGATTCTGTATTTATCTATTTTATGATCACATCCGTGTTATTTGTGCCGTGTGGCGGCTGTAAAAAGTCTCCCCGTACATTTAATCAATGATGTTATATTTTCGATCCTTAAAGATCGTTCAGCACGACATTATTGTTGTGCTTGTAGTATTTTTAGTTTCAACTTTTCGGCATTTTCTAGTTGGGTGGTTCCAATATTCCTACTTGAATAATGTTGAATCACCCTTAGGATATGTTGCCTGCTTTTTAAATTTGTCTTTTGACGTCTTATCTGTGATACGCAGGCTTCATAACCTCTGATCCCCTTTCAAAATTCCATTTTATTTAGTTCCGCCCATTGTTTTCTCGTTTAGGGCACACGCTTTTTATTACTTGGGGACCATACGCCGCTTTTCATGGAATGGCACGGAAGTGTCACATTGAAGGTTCCATGATAACCGCCGTATGAACACATCTGCGGATGTTTCTAAATTCAAAATTTTACTATTTCATGTTTAAATGTTGAATTCTGCTTAAGCCGGTGCTAGGGGGCGTGGACGGTAACTTGCACTTTCCAGTACCGTCCATGAACAGGCTCAATCAAACCGAGCCTGCAACATTTTCAGTTTTGCCGTGTTTGGCTTTCTTTAGGGATTCTGTATTTATCTATTTTATGATCACATCCGTGTTATTTGTGCCGTGTGGCGGCTGTAAAAAGTCTCCCCGTACATTTAATCAATGATGTTATATTTTCGATCCTTAAAGATCGTTCAGCACGACATTATTGTTGTGCTTGTAGTATTTTTAGTTTCAACTTTTCGGCATTTTCTAGTTGGGTGGTTCCAATATTCCTACTTGAATAATGTTGAATCACCCTTAGGATATGTTGCCTGCTTTTTAAATTTGTCTTTTGACGTCTTATCTGTGATACGCAGGCTTCATAACCTCTGATCCCCTTTCAAAATTCCATTTTATTTAGTTCCGCCCATTGTTTTCTCGTTTAGGGCACACGCTTTTTATTACTTGGGGACCATACGCCGCTTTTCATGGAATGGCACGGAAGTGTCACATTGAAGGTTCCATGATAACCGCCGTATGAACACATCTGCGGATGTTTCTAAATTCAAAATTTTACTATTTCATGTTTAAATGTTGAATTCTGCTTAAGCCGGTGCTAGGGGGCGTGGACGGTAACTTGCACTTTCCAGTACCGTCCATGAACAGGCTCAATCAAACCGAGCCTGCAACATTTTCAATTTTGCCGTGTTGGGCTTTCTTTAGGGATTCTGTATTTATCTATTTTGTTATATAAAGGAGGGAACCTTCAATTCAAAGATTGGATTAAGGGCATATTATGTGCCATGCCCGGATACAAAACAAAAATGGCTGACATATTTGTTTGCATTTTCAAAAATATTTTTTAAAAGGAACACTTTACATATCTGAAATTTCGGCAATGACGCCCTCCATAATTCATAGGCCTATTCCTCTCTGGAAAGTTAATTCAAAATCATAAGGTTTCCCTTATATTCGGTTGTTCAGTTCCCATAATATTTGGTTAACATTACTTTTTTTCTTCAACTACTGCAAAATATCATCTTCCCTAATTTAAATGAGGGACCCGTGTGAGGGGCAGGCGGATGGACTTTCACTAAGCTTAGAATTCATGCATACTTGCACGTAACAAAAATGCCGTATTATACAAAAACATTCCTAAATGAATGAAGTGAACATTCCGTAAAGGGTTTATCCTCCATGTACAGACTTAGTCGAAATGAGTCTGCAATTTTCATGTTTTTTTGCTGTGATTAGTGCTTTCGAGGGATTACTTTTTTTCAAAACTTTTATACTTAACATCAGGGGTCAAGTGCCATGTGGCAGCTGTAAAATGTTGTCCCGTACTTCACTTCCATGTTGTAACATTTTACTAGTCCTTCGGATCATTGATGCCAGCACTATTAAGTGTTTCGACTTGAGAACCGTTCTTGGGTACCGCTCAAGCCGGTGCTAGGGGGCGTCAGGGATGTTGCACTTATTCATTATCCCTCATGTACAGTCTCAATTAAACCGAGTCTTCAAATTCCACGTAATTTCGTAGTGATTAATGCTTCCGAGGGATCACTTTGTTTCCAGATTTTTGTATTTTACCGTAGCAAACTGAATGGTTTGTTTTAATTAAAAATTTTTTGACGAAATTTTCTTGCCCATTTAAAGTAATGAAATCGGACGCCGGCTATTTATTTACAACGTGCATTTGTAATTCATTGGTATAAAAGTTATAATATTTAGTTTTTTAAAGTATTCAAAGACAGATTTCACAACATAGGCGCGACATAAACAATACTGATAAATAACTTACAAAGACTAGAAGATATATAAATCAGCATATTTCAACACCAATATTTCGATGTAATAGATATGTTATAGATATTTTAGCTGATATTTCACATAAAGTGAATTATCGCTAAAACACACACGAACGTACGTACACACGCACGTGTTACTGGTATATGCAACATAGTAAATAACACATGCGCACATATTAGCTGTTACGCGTACATGTAAATGTCAACATGTTTCCACACACTTTTGCAGCACGTAAAAAATAAAATATTTAAAATGCTTTTCAAGTTATATTATGATATTTCAGTGCATGGTAAAGTTTCAAGGTGTTTTGAAATAAATAGATAGTTTTGTGTGCTGGAAATGCCTTTGTGGCGTACCTCTTTACTGCAACTATAGATTGTTTTGTTTGTTTGTTCCATTTTACGCCTTTTCCCAACAGTATTTCAGTCATATAGGCGGGTAGTTTCCTAACCATTGTTCCTGGAGAGTTACACCAGTACTAGATTACCTTCCTCCGTGCTAAACTACCAAAGCATCTCCCGGGGATCGAACCCACGCCAGAGAGGTAACTGAATTAGAAGTCATCGACCCTAACCCCTCTACCACGGAGGCGGTCACAACTATAGATAGAACTGAGCATGTTAGCAAATAAGTTACACGTAAGTTCACGTATTCATTAACAAAATATCATTTTTGTATGTGTAAATATATTAGACAATTATACAAACACAACGCCTGTAACGATATGATGGTCATTAAAGCGAGGTTCAATCAAGTCACAGCTTAACAGTTACTCAGACTTGAATATTCCCGTATATACTGATAACAAATGGTTTTCTCTCTTTCTGTGGTTTATCCTTTAATAATTGATGCATAATAATGTCAAACTTTATGAATAAAAGCGAGGAAACGACGTCAATAAGGCCATACGTATTTTTATACCCATTTGGAAAGGCTTGAACATCCGTTGTGATATGGAATAATCAAATCTATAAACTATTAGAAACAACTTGAGTTCGCAAAATGGTTTGTCTTTCCTTAAACATAATATTTATGATAAACTAAGTGATATGTAAGCGATTACAATTTGATTGATGGCTCCATAAGTGTTCCATCCTTAGTTACATCATAGATACTGCTTATATCCTGTATTTAACTTGACTTACACTCTAACCTTCTGCACAAGAGTTATGCTTGTATATATTTAAGTCTTTAGGGCTTCAGGTGTTTTTGCACCTTTTAATCACTGTTGATAGGTTTTTCATGAGTGGACTGATTATCTTGGGTAGCCTTTTACACTATACAGTTAAACTTCGTTCGCTCGAAATCGGATCGCCCGAATGCCTCCGTTTAGTAGTTAATAATGTAGTTTTTTTTCAATTTCAAATCGCGGGAAGCAGAATATCTGGGAACTCCTTGATCATATTTGTACCAGTGATAATGTATTTTCATTTAAATAGGATGACAATTAAAAAGTTGACAACGCTTAAAATTCTATATAGATTGATAATAAAACTTACCTCGATTATATATGACAGAGAACGATGGGTCAGCAGCTAATAAAGAGTCCTTGCACTTTATGTCCGGTTGAAAATACTGCAGTATGTTTCTGAATGCATTATTTGCTTTAAAACTGTGAAACAAAAATAAACACACTAACACAACTTTGATGATTACTCACGAAATTTAGATATAGTTTATTATTTTTTTGATATTCTTTCCTAATGAAAATGAATGTATCCATTTCAAGTATATCTTAATGAACGATGTGAATCATATTATAAACACAATAGTATTTATATTTAAAGCTATATAAAAATATTCTTTTGATTCGCCTTTAAGATCGTTAAATGTATATTGCAACTAATACTTTATTAACAAATTGACAGTCAGTACATATATAATTTTGAATGCACACTTATTTTACGATACGCTGCGTGTTATGTATTCAATAAAACATATACTTGCTATCGAAGTTAAATCTAGCCCAGAATTAAGACAGCCAGCGATTCATAAGTAAATATTATTTTTGTACTGTTTTACAATAATCACACGTTCAGAGTCATCACGACGCTTATTTTCTATTTTATCCATATTTTCTGTTCAAGTTCATTAGTAATTCTACTTTCTAAACAAAAGTCATGAGAGTAGTTGATATATAGTATCAAACTACAATGTTAATAGTCACTTGAATGTATGCAAATTGAACAGATTTACATCAATGGTGGTGACAATGTTTAATATACTTTTATTTTTGATTAAATATGTTATTCAACGAGCAAACAAAATAAATAAGGAAATAGATGAACTGTTCATTTCTCAAGAATATTTGTTCTCTTATTATCAAGACGATATAAAAACAGATCATTAAAGTTGAAAAAAATGATTTACTGTCATAAAAATACCGTACATAGCACTATCTGCAAATGCTAAGATCTGTTGGAAGTTTTTAAGGAGATTTTTCTTTAAATATAAAACTTACGCAGTTGGTTGAGCTTGCTCGTTCAAGGGAAAGTTTCCTGTTTCATGAGAGGTGATTTCATGCAGAATCGTTATTACTAAAACTGCTACTATGATACAGCAAATGAACATTAAGCGTCTACTCCACAACCTGCAAAGAATTACAGTTATAGGTTGGCAAACAACAAAGCTTTATGCACATTTAAAAGACAAAAGAAGCAAAAGACTTTGATAATACAACGAACTATGAAAAGAAGTACTTATTTTCTCCTTTTTCCGAGTTATGTTTTAAAGTTTAAAGACTTATGTTCCACAATCCATACCTTCGCAAACGATTTTACAACAGAAAGCTATCGGAACATTTCCTAAATACATGGAGAAAACAAATATATTTTCAAATAACCATTTAGTAAAACATATAAAAAATAAATAAGTGTGCGACCCGGCTCATGCTCTAATGCAATAAATGGCTCAAATGCAATTAATGACGTTAGTTATGTTGCAAAATAAATACAAAAAGGAAACCAGCATCATTGTTTTGTAAGTCCGCTCCCGCGAGTTTATTATTTCCTGATAATATTACCATAGCCATTATTATTAGCCATTGATATTATAATTCAATTTATCATCTCCTCGCTTCACTAATTGTAAAAGGATCTGGGAGTTTGCCGACCTTTTCCCGTTTTACCTTTTTAGTGTTCACAGCACGCGAAATATTGGTGATGTGTGATATTTTAACAATTAAAAACACATCAAAATGCACATAACACCAACAAAAACTATTGTGTTTTTACTGAATACAGGCTTGTTTTATGCAAAATACTAGTATCGTGAAATGATAGAATGATCTTTATAATATATTTACATATATATATATACATTATAATATATTTATAATATATTATTATATGAATCTTCATAGTGTGTAATGTTAGTATATCAACTACTTTGTTGCCAATGTGCAAACATATAAATCAAATTTTGTTCCAATTCAGTTGTTTGGTCAGAAGAATCAAATGTGTACGTCAATGCAGAAAAAAGCATACAATAAAGCGAATAAGTTGTAAATACTATCGATCACCAAGTAGCGCTTTTGGCGTTATAAATGTCCACAGAAATAGTAGATTTGTCCCTTGGCCTCGCCCTTTCCTTCTGGGATCTCGTAAACACAGTCTTTGAATCGCTTGCTCCATCTGAAAACAAGTGATCAACTCACCGATGTTTTGTCCTTCTTGTATCTAATCTTCCCGCCTAAAGGTGATAGAGGATCCCCAATATGTTGGCTTCAGATTATTTATTATATGAGTTGTATTCGATCTGTGTCAAAACTGTGTATGAACTCGGAATTTTTAAGTATTTCTATTATTACATTATATAGTTAGTCTATTGTTGTAGTGATATTTAATTACCTATGAAGGGCTAAATCTAATGTTTCTAGACCTTTTTGCCCAACCCATTCGCTTCTTGTTATAAACTCATCATTTGTATAATGTTTGTTATGTATTTGATGAACAAAATATGTTTAAACTGAATTAAAATTTAATAATCAAACAAGTGGACAAATGGACTTTCAGTCAAAGCTACGAAATTGTTCCTTAAGATTGTTTTTTTAAGGATTAAAACCCCAATGCAATTCTAAATTTATAATAATTTGGTTTGCTTCTGACATTTTTATTAGCATTAATTGCATTGGAAGCCCGTGATTGCCCGTGATTCAGGGGCAACACGCACTTCAAGGATGCGAGATGTCTAATCCGAGGCAAGAGTTAAAATCCCAAAATTAAAATTCAATGACTAACGCAACTGTAACGCTTTTGTTTTCAAATCCAACACGAATCAGCTGATATGCAATGGAATACCTGGTGAATATTTAAAATTTTTGGCAAACAGGTTAAATGCTTGAGCTGAGAAAGTTGTTATCATTTATTGGCGTAGCTTGTTTTAAAACAAGTCTATTAGGACAAGTTAACCATTGTGGGTGGCTTTAAATTAACAAAAGTGATCTCAAGACTATCCATGAAGCCAACTCATCGGTCTGTTAATACCAACAGGACTATTTGTTCATATTTTTGGGGGCAAATGCAGAAAATGTATAGTTGTTAGGGAGAAGTGGAGGAGTAGCGGTTCTACGAACTGATAACCAATCGTACGGTCATCATACCGATCTTCTGATAACTCTCCTACAACTTTTATATTGGAATCTCGTTCTCAGATTCAATAATGTTGCCATTGATGCTGAGTGTCTTGGTACTTAGGTTTAGTGATAGTGGTGGTTATGATAGCTATAGGAAGAGCTATGTCACAGTGAGAAATGGTGGGGGAAGAGTAGTTTAAGAGTGGCTCAGCCTCTGACCATTTAGTAATGTTAGGAGGAAGGATAACTGCAAGGAAAGCGGTGCCCGAATTATATAAGTTTACCCAGTGATTTAGTAGATCATTACTTTAAAAAACAAATAACTCAAATTTTACACGTGGTATGGGTTGTAGATTACTCTAACGTTTCTCCAAGGATTGACACACTTACATTAGTTTTACATGAGCAATTATGATAACTTCTGATTACTTTTGATTGTCTCATTTTAAAATTGCAAAGACCTAGCTATTTTGTGTTTAATTAACAAATTTTGATAATAAAACCTATGCAAATATGAAATATTTACATGAGTATTCAAATACTTTTGTTTGTAATAAAATGAATGTCACATAAGAGTGATAATACAAAGCAAACTTTTTTTATTTGAATTCTGTACGTATGTACATACTTTTTAATGTAACAGTAGTAATGTGTTGAAGGATTACAATTACAAAACTCTTGGGGAATTTTAGTCCGTGGTTTATCTGTTTGGATGGCATCACAGTAAAACACTTTGTCGTAACCTATTATGTGCCGGCTTTAAGTATTAAAAAAAGAAAGCCAAAACTTTGCATAATATAATTGCTTTATTTATTGTTAATTGCGTGATAAGCTATGGTTTCTTGAGAAGAAAATAACGAGAAATTAGCAGAATTTGAAGTCATAACTATGACATCTCAGTCGATGACAAAGTCTCAGGGCGATAAATATTGCTGCCTACAAAAAACTTTTTTTCTTAGTCTGGCCAAGGGTTCGGAGGTTTTTGATTCAATATTAGGTTTATGATATGCATTATTAATTAACTGTGCAATTTGGTGCGTTAGCATTTCCAATTAAGAGCTGATTCATTTTCACTGTGACATTATTGATAGAAAACTCAGCCATTATGAAAAAAAACACACCCATTACGAGAAATGTAAATGTTATAATATTCTGACATTCTGACTGACTGTTTGACATGGCCATTATAAAGCTCACGCTAAATATTGAAAAATCAAATGTCATTCCGTTATTTATTATAATTAAAAGTTTTCATAATTGTATTAGTTGAGCTTGATTATTAAGCTTGAATCCTTTTGGCTTTATATCAATGTCATTATGAAATCAAACTCAATTTTTTGACATCTTATTAACAAAGCTTTTCCGTAATGTTGTTTCTTATATGTTATTGGTTTTAAATTTCTAATGACAATATTAATCATCCAACCTAATAGTTCCTGAATTTCAATACCGCAATGAGTGAATTGCATTGGGCCGCTCTGAGGAGTAAGAGTAAACTATTAGAAATTTCTCAGGGGGTTAGTAAAGTTAAAAAAAACTTGCTGAAAGAAATACTGGCATAAAATGCTGTGCAAATATAAGTGAAAGTCTGAGTAGCCACTCTATATGCTTGCATAGAGTGCCAGATTAAATACTTAAAAGCTCTATATTTACCAGATGAGGCAGGGAATAATGTAGTATTCACTGCGTTAACCCTAAATATAGTGATGGTTAAAAAAGTAGAAGCTTTCTAGAATTTTTTACTCTTACATTCTAGTCTCTTATGTTTAAATGCCTTAAATTTTCAGTACTATCCTCAATATCACTTCTATATTACTACTTGATTGGCCAATAGAAAAAATGATGTCGCCATCTTTGTTTTTCGGCAATATTTGATTGTTGTTTTTAAAAATGTTTTGATGTCTTTTATTTTCTTTCTTTTATTTTGGCTTTTCTTATCTTTAAAAGTCTTTTTTGATATATCATCCATTTATGATAAAGAAATTTGGCGGTTCTTATATTGACCTTAAGAAAATTTCCGCCATCTTTGACTTTTTGGCCATATTAGATTTTTGTTTAAAAAATTCTGTCTTGGTGTCAAATTGTTTTTACATAAACATGCTTTATGACAAATTTCAGGCTTTACCTTTCTTTAAAAGTTTTATTTGATATATCATCCATTTATAATAAAGAAATTTGGCGGCCATTTTAGTGGTCACTTAAAAATGGCAAATTCAATGGTCAAGAGAAAGTATTTTAGTTTGGTATTCACCTTTATCGGATTCAGCATACCTTAAATAGGTAAAATATACCAAGATACCACTTGTACTACAAAATGCTTCTAGCATCTTATAGAGGGCCATAATCTCAAAATCAGTCCTGTCTATTTGGACCAAAAGGAAATGGAAACAAAGACATAAACAATTTCTTCAAAGAATATATCTCATATGCAAACATAATCCCTGTAAATATGTCATGGTGATTGAAATTTGAGCAACAATTCAAACATAGGGTACATAAAACAATAATAATAAAAAATCGGATGGTGAAATTTTCTAATATTTGTAAAATTAATGTTGTCGTATACCATCAAAGTAAGAAAAAAGTGTTATGTATATTGGTTTTATTTTAAATGTGTTTAGTATCTATTTCATTAAGAGCGCAGAACTGATAATCGCGATGTCGTGGGTTCGATACCTACTCATGCCACTATCATTTTTAATAATTTTATTTTTGTTTAATTTGAATTAAATTTTAATATAATTGGTCAGCAGGTTTTACTAAATTCAATTGACGGCATTATTTATACAATGTATTAACTTTGCAGACATTGTAAAATGAATAACCATATCATGCCAAAATATCAATTGTCTCTCTATACAAACTGGTCAGCATTTTCACTTCATTATTTCTTATATATTTTGGACAGATCTGATTATTGTTTTTTGTCCGGTGCCACATGAATGCATCTTATCCATTTAATTAATTCATTCATTATCTAATTCATTCAGTCACTGTAAAATTGGGCGGGGTTTAGCTTATGTAGTTCTTATTTTGAATTACCAATGAATAAAGGAATTCTCTTTCGGCTAATAAATTGATTGGATTGCAAAATGAATCAATGACATATCTGATTGGCCTCCGATGTATGCTCACATAAATTACTTAACATGTTACATAACAGAAATTCAGATCGATTAATTAAGTTTTAGTACCATTTAATCAGATTGAGATTCCATTGCATCGTGTTAAAAACATAAATGACCCTATTTGGATAGATCACACAAAAAATAAATAAAGTGTGGATCATTTAGCCGTAAATTTAACGTACAGTTTATGAAGGAAATTAGCTCTAAAAAGATTGTTTAGTTCATTCATTCATTCATTGGCTCTAAAAAAGTGTTTCTTTATTTGGTTCATTCATTAATTTATTTACCGTTCTTTACATTCAGAAATTTAAATTTGTAAAAAAAATGTTTATCAGCTTTATATCAATTCAAATTCATTTAAGGCCGTAAAACTTCTTATTCTTAATTCAATTCAATTCAAAATATTTATTGCATAACACATGTAACATATTTAAAGAAAACTAATAAATAAATAAATAATTAAATAAATAAGTAAATAAATGAATAAATAAATGAATGAATGAATGGGTGTGTGAGTGAGTGAAAGAGTGTGTGAATGAATGATTGAGTTAATGAATGAGTGAGTGATTGAATGAATAAATGAATTTACTTATTCATTAAATAATTAATTAATTAATATATTATATATTTTAAATATTTTTATGAGTGAATGAATGTATGAATGAATGAATTAATTAATAATAAACAAATAGATAAATACATGAATAAATAAATAAATAAATATATAAATAATTAAATATATAAATAAATGAATAAGTTATATTATATATTATAAAAATTCTTTTTTCATTTATTACTTTGCGTGCACGACTAAATTTATCTGCGCGTTTTCATAAACGTAATTAATTTTATAGCCATTACACTTGAAACTTTGCATAAAAATAAACAAAACATGACATTGATTAAGTTAATATATACTTATTACAAAACATCCACACTACTTATAATTCTTAACTGATAGGCGTGGTCAAGATCTACTTATTGAACAGTCGCAAAAGGCAGCGCGTGATCACGTGATTTAATTGGACAACCTCTAAAACGGTCAAAATTATCTGATTGGTAGCATATCCACGGTCCAGTGATACCCGTCTTAAGGGCAGTCGCAAATGAGAGCAACCAGGCAGTAAATAATTCTTAATTGGGACTTAAAGGATATTTTGTATCTTTTTCCGGTGGCGAGGGTAAAGAAACCAAAACACACAAAATAAAGGATATTTGGGAAAATAAACTTTCTGTAACAAATGTAAATTACTTTTCCCCCATAGGTTCTTAAGGTGAAGTTGTTCTGAAGCTTTCAAATTATTTTCCAGAAAATGATGGCGAATGGAAAGACTGATATTTCCTTCAACTATAATGCCGTCCCGTGTTTTCAAAGTGGAAAACGCACATTTAAACAACCTCAAAAGAAATATTTCCGCCATTGCTCTGGTCTTTGGTTGATAACGAATAATTCACAGTGCGATTTTCATTGCAGTCAATAAACAGTTTAAATATTTTCTTTATTTTAAATATAAAGTGATATTCGTAAACGTCAGTTTTTCAGTATTCGATGAAATCACGTTTATCTATTTTGCATCGAAATCATGTTTATTTATTTACCAATGTACATATATGAAACTTAATACATAGAATATAAAATGTACGAAGATACGCATTTTTTAGACTAAATGTATTGAAGCAAAGTATTTTAAAGAATATGACATACATTTAAAAATAAAAATCACCATCATCTTCAAAATAACCGGGTTAATAGGAATGCGTTTCTTTTACACTATTTATGATATATTTTGTTTTAAAGAAAGAGACAATCATTCTTTATCTTACACACATATATGTGTACATTTGTACATAAGTACTTTTTCCTATATACCATAACGTCAGGTTATTCGAAAGCATCTTAGATCTGCCCCTAAATGCTTTCTAATAAAAACTGTTAACTCCTGCCGTTTTTCCTGCAATAAAAGACACGAAAAACGCTTTCTTTTATCTAATCCTGTCACCTTAGCGCTTTCAATACCTTACACGCGTTTGAACAACACTGTAGAAGGAACAAAGTTCAATCTGAGTACAATAAAAATATAAGGAAGGCAATTTGTCCGTTTTCCCCAGATACAGTTGAAACGTTACAAATGATAGAATTTTTACTGTTTAATCATTCTACACCTTTTCAAGAGAAATGACCACATATCTTGACTAGTATTAAATAATTTCACTTGGAAGCTAAACATTACCCCTGTGTAATTTGTTGGTATCTTTTGTTAATAAAGTGAAATTACGTTCATATATTATTTTTCATTTTCAAGTTGAGCTGGTTTGACTATATATCTTAAATAATGTTAAAATGGTCACGGCCAGACACGTGATATTAGAAAATGTTTATGAAACTTCAGACTAAAATATAAAAATAACTCTGTCCCGCTCTTTTTAAAATTGAATGTTACAGGTAAATTTCGATCAATTAAATACGATTAAAAGGGAGTGTTTTGTAATATCTTTTAAACAGACACGAAATATAACTTTATTGAAAGAGAAGGAGAAATGTTATAAGTTTCAAATCAATTGGTCAAGACTGTTGTATAATTTTATCAAGGGGACCGTTTTCACATTTATATGTTCATACGAAATTTGAATATGATTTTACAGTTTTTAGTTTAATATTGGTGTTTAAATAAAAAACATTGCAACGTGGATTCATTGTGGTAAAAATATCGTCTGCTAGCATTATTCCATAAATATATCAATAATATATATAACTGTCCGTTTTTCTATTATAGTGTATAGAAATACATTGTTGAATAAAACAATAATAATATTATAATTTGTTGATAAATATAATATTATAATAATGAATAAAAGTAATTATTATATAAATTATAATCGAATTATTGAATTTTCTTATTCTTCCTTATTATTACTATTATTAGTATTATTATTGTTCTTCTTCTTATTATTATTTTTATTAAATTTTTTATCATCATAGTTATAAATAATTTGCTTTCTCTTATTTAAATAAAATAAAATGGATACCTCTTGAATCATTTGAAAATGAATGAATTGAGGAAAATCCAATTGGAATTTTTTTCAATAACTTTTTATTTGAAAATAATTGAAAATAAATCCAATTGGATTTTATTTTTTTTTCAAAACACCTTACTGGTAATTCAGCGTGTAAAATTATGTTAATTTTGTTCGAAAACTATCATTTGCCTTTAATTATTATCGTTTGTTACACTTATTAAAATGTTTCTGTAAAAATCCAGTCGGATTTTTTTCAAGCTTTCAAAATGATTTTCTTTTCATTTTAGCGAATAAGTTTTTCAAAATAAGTCAGAAAGTCATTAAAGAATGTATTAATGTTGATTTTTATAGTTTAAGAGTTGCTGGAAAAATTGAAATTCCCGTTGGAATAAATATTTTTTTTTTAAAAAATCCATATGGAATATAAGTAAATTACGCCCGGTCAGCATAATTCCGGGCGCAATACATGAAATTCCGCCCCAACAATTTTTTCAAAACACAAATTTTGATAAGAAAAAAAAAAAAGCTTTAAATGAAGTCAATTATTTACAATGAACCTTAAATCTATCAGATGAAATGATTTTCAAGTGTTTACGGCAAGTATAAATGGTAGTGTAGTTTGCTACTTTTCCGGTGGTGCAAAGATTTTCCGGTGGCTGTGATATATATAAATTACAAAATGTCTGGACTTGATGGTATTATAAGAAGCAATGGCTGATGGCAGAGGGGAGAAACTGGAATTTGTACCATTTCATAAATACCATGTTTTAACCTGTTTGACACTGTAAAACACGTTTTAGGTATACTACCAATACAAAAAGCAATTCGAGATACCAAATCTTCATTTCTTTTTCAAATAAATTCTATTATTTTTGTATGCAGGATTTTTAATATTTTTAACCGCATCAGTTGTTTTCAAATATAATGGCTTGTGTTCAGTCTATTAGATATTCAGACCCGCATTGGGTATTTCCAAATTAACGATAAGTATGTATTCTAGGTTTGTGCTCAGTATTTGTAACTAAATACAGATAAAAATAAAATAAAATAAAAAGTACGTATGTCCAAGCATATAAAAGGTTTTGTAAAAATGATTGAAAGTGTCGTCTTGAAGTCAATCTTTGAATCTAAAAATACTTATGCAAAATAAAAATCCTTATAAACTTCCATTCATATAATACAACAATGCCTTCGGACAAAAACTGCAAATGCACAGGCTGTGTTTGATAAGATTTATTGTTACGTTACATTTTGTAAAACTAGGTTTTTGAAAGTTCAGTGTTATAAAATTAAAAATTATCTAAATTGATATGCAACTGTACTGGAAAAATCCAAAAACTACTGTTCGAATATTGTGTAAATTCCGTTTACAAATATATGTGCATTTTAAAAATATTTTTTTTAAAAATTGAAAATTAATTATTTCCAAAGCACCTACTTCCACATAGTTCCATTGACTTACACACAACGTTCGCTCGGCTCTCGAAATGAAACATACTTGACTGATGAATACCATGCCATTTTTTATATTTACATCCCAGTTGTCTTCAGTTTATTACTATTTCAGCGTTATCGACATTAGCTGGATGTACGTAGTTTATTATAAACTGAAACATAAAGTATAGCTTTATTACGCTCAAATGCGTTTATTTTAAGTTACAACCGTCTAACAAAATTCAAAAGCGTTGAACATATTATATAAGAATTTTGATTTTTCCTTCCTAGTTACAATGTTAGCAAGAAATTTTGTCAAATAACAAGTTTATTTTGCTTATTCACCACTTATTCAATTCCGACTGTTTACACCAGACTGGTCTTTTCTTTCAAGTTGTTTTTCCTTTAATAGGATTTTTTTGTCAATAATATTGACTTATTTATTTTAGTACTTAATACATTAAATATGATGAAAGCAAGCAAAATCAATTTTGGAGATTTATTATGCATTCTTTGAATATAACCCTTGAAATTTAACCGTGAGTAATGTAAAACTATAAAAAAAATGTGATCTTAAAAAAGTTTTATTTAGGCAGTTTTTCTCTCCTTATTTTGTTTCTGTTTAAATATATTGTTGTCATATTTTACCTACGCCTGATTTTATCTCAATGCAGTTATACAGAATACATTTAATATGATGAAAGCAAGCAAAAATCACAACTTTAAATGGTGTGTGTTTGCTATTGGGAAAAATGGAGATGATAGAATATATTTTCTTTGAATATTACCCTTTAAACCAATGAAATTTAACCTTGATAAATATAACACAATAAAAAAATGTTAGGGCACAGTTATGGCCCTTAAATGATCATTTTTAGGAAAATAAACTTGTACGCACTTTATCACCAAAATCGATGGGATATTTCAGTGAAACTTCACATGATTGTTTGCCACAAAGCCTAGTTGTGCATAGCCTCTTGATAATCTGCTAGATTAAAGTTATGGTCCCTAAATCTTCTATTTTTGATTATTTCAATGGAAATTTAAGGATATTTACTAAAGGTGTTCGGGCATACATTACCGGTATTTGGGCATATATTGTACCTTGACATAAGATAGTCTGTTGGAAGTCTAAAATTATGTAGACAAAGTGATCCTTCGGAAGCAATAATCACAACACAATTACATGAAAATTGCATGAATAAATGCATCATCGCTCCCGCCCCCTAGCACCGGACTTGAGTGGTACTCAGTTCATACCACTAAATAGTGTTGGCATCAATGATCCCGAAGGACCAAAACAATATCACAACATTGAAGTGAAAACTTACCCTAAGTCTTAAAAACACGAAACAAGAGTCAATGTTAACTAAATAAATCATCTTTAATAAGAAATTGCTACAATTGCAATGAATTTGTTATAAATTTACATATAAAATTAGGAAGTTAAATATTCTATATGAAGGCCCTTACCGATGTTGTAACCCAATTATGATATTTGCGATATAAAGGCCTTGTGTTCAGTGTGTGGCGATGAATAAAACCGTGACGCAAGTTTTGATTTGCAAAGGTTTTAAAATTTTACCACTTCAACAAATAGATTACCTTGTATACCCCGGAATAAAATAATCTATATGACGGCCCTCACCCATGTTGTATCCAAATCAATAAAGTCGCGATATAAAGGCGTTGTCAGTGTGTAGGAAATCCTTACGCAAGGTCTGATGGACAAAAGCCTTGCAATTTTAACTTTTTAGTAAACCAATTTCATTTGTGTACCCCGACATAAAATCTTGTATATAAAGGCCCTTACAGATGCTTGACCACAATCGAGTTATTTGCGATATGAAGTCCTTTTTGAAGAGGGATTGTTAAGACCCTGACAAAAGGTTTGATTGACAAAGGCTTTACATTTCAACTCTTTTACAAACCAGTTACCTTTGTGTGCCCTGGAATTAAATACCAATATGAAGGCCCTCGATGAAAGGTTTGAGGGCAAAGGCATTAAAATATTAACACTTATTAAGTGAAAATGTAGAAAGTTTGACCAACTTATTTTGTCTAGACGCATATTTCGATAACGTTTTTAAATTGCATATTTGATTTTTATTGATATGTTAATCTTTTGTATTGATTCGAACGTAATGTGTTTGTATAAGTAAGGTCATGAACCCATGTTTTTGTTGTACAATGTTTATTTATCAAAAAGACTTTGCAACTTAAGCATAAAGCATAACTGTGATAAGCACAACTACCTCAGGACAGGCCACCAATGAAATTATGGCAAGCTTATCCATATTCCTATTAGGAAGGACATAATGTAATATTAATAAATAATAAAACATGACTTTAAACCTTACATACACATAAGAATAGAGGTATATAGATAATTATATATGTATTCTTTATAAAGGCCTTAACCTATGTTGTAACCCAATCATAACAACTGCGACATAAAAGACTTGTCTATGTGTATAGAAGCCTCTGTTTAGCTGAAACCGGGGGCTTGGTTACAGAGTAGGAATTGAAACCGAAGACCTTCCCTAAATATATTTTTCTAACTGAAGTTATCTTAAGGCCACTGCGCGGGAAGCCTATGGTTAAGTTACAAAGGTATTCATAGTGGACCTTTCCATACGTTAGGAGAGATATTTTAATGTAAAATCCTCTGTATTGGAAATGTAAAAATGGGTTACAGAGATGGAATGTGAAGCCGATTAATGTTTTAATTTCAAAAATCTGATTGCCGTCGCGCAGGAATCCCAATGTGCGGGCTACACAGGTCTGTAACCCCGATATAGAATATATTTTATGATGGACCTGCTCATACGTCGGATTTTGGATGTAAATCCTATGTTTTGCAAATTAAAAAAATGGGTTACAGGAATGGGATTCAAACCCAAGACCTTGCAACGATTATGTTTTCTAAATGCAATAATCTCAATTCCTCTTGCTTTTAAACCCATGGCTAGGGTGACAAAGATTTGTAATTCCGACACTTAATATACTTTATAGTGGACCTGTCCATATTATGGTAGAGATCCGTGCATGTTAAAGCCTCTGTATACCATATATACAACAATTCACTACCCAGAAGTACATCGTTCTTCATCATGTGAAACACAAAGCTTCTCCAAATTCATCGAAGGATGTTGTCAATTATTTTTTGGCAGGACCTGATACAAATCAGTTTTACATTTATGCAATTTTTTTACAGGGTATATTATTGTCAAAAACAAACAAGCATTTCAGAAAAGTCGGATTTTTTTTAAATGAATTATTTTATGATTCAGAAATTGCAGTAACTTTAACAAGAAATTGTTTTTTGCATTTTTTAGAATGGCCATACTGATATCACACTGACAATGATGTCAAATCTCCAAAATATGTAAATATTAAATTGCTTAATACCTGTAAATGATCCTTATTAATTTGATGTTATATAGTTGACCAAAGGCAAAAGTAGTTAAAATACTGGTAAAAGTAGTAGTGGATGTAGCAATGGTATTATTGATGGAAGTGCGTTAGCCATGTGAGTTGTGGTGGTGGTGGTAGTAAAACATGTTGTGATAATTATTTAAGTCGAACTCTACAATTACTGTCACTGCCACGGTACCAATACATTAAAACTCTACAAGTCAAAAATCTCTATCACTGTAGCAGTATCAACAACTAACGATTCAACAAGACTAACTCTTCATTCACTGTCACTGCTACAGTATCGTCATCCAACCATTCAATAAGTCTTAGTCAATAATCCAAATCCCTGTAACAGTATTAATAGCTAATAAGTCCAACTCTGCAATCACTGTCACTGTAAAATTGTCAACAGCCAATAACTCTATAAGTCAAATTAAAACATCACTTGAACAGTATTAACAGCTTAAAATTCCACAAGTCCCCCCCTTCCCCCCGGTCTCCTGTCCCCTTCCCCTTTGTGGGCCTAATTTTATTTTCTTTGAATTCCTAATCAGTTACAAATTAATTATCATTTATTAACCTGTCCGTGCTCTGTCTTTGCCCTGTCCTGTTTTTGTTTGGGGTCCCTCTGGGCTCCTTGCCATTGGTTCTGGTTGCTGGGTCATATGGGGGTTGCGTTCATTGAACGCCGCCTTTCCTTGTTGATCTTGTTTATCATATTTTACTACACTAATTGTCATTGCTAAAGTATCAACAGCTAACGCAAGATTAGCACTACCATAACTATCACTCCTAGGGGACCCAAAAGTCGATTGGTTAAGGTGACCAGCTTCAAAAACATCTTTGGTTCTACTCGGCTACCCCAAATGTGTCTGAAATAGTGTACGATGGTGAAAGTCACCATGTAACCGCTACAGTGTTAGTGCAGTAAAACAAAAAATCTAAACTATCACTGCTGAAATATTAACATATAACATTCCCACTAGTCTCTCAATACTATCAATATTGCTGCTACAGTATCAATAGCAAACTACATTAAATGTACTTCTACGGTTACACTTTTATACTTACATTTCTATCACTTTCATGCTTTATTATCAACAGCTTACACTAACAACCACTTAAATAGCAATAACTACCACAACAATCACTTTTGCTGCTGCAATATACTGATAGAATGAAATAAGAAACCCCAAAGAAAGCCCAACACGACAAAATTGAAAATGTTCCAGGCTCAGGTTTGATTGAAACTGTTCATGGACGGTACTGTCAAGTGCAAACTACCGTCCATCCCCCTTAGCACCGGCTTAAGCAGAATTCAACATTTAAAATGAACTAGTAAAATTAAGAATTTTGAAACATCAGCAGATGTGTTCATATGGCGGTTATCATGGAACCTTCAATGTGACACGTTAGTGCCATTCCATGAAAAGCGGCAAATGGTCCCCATATAAAAAAAATACATGTGCCCTAAACGAGAAAACAATGGACAGAACTAAATAAAATCGAATTTTGAAAAGGAATCTGAGGTTATGAGATACAGATATGACGTCAAAAGACACAATTAAAAGCAGGCCGCATAACCTAAGGGTGATTCAACAGTATTCAAGTTAGGAATACAGGAACCACCCAACAAGAAAGATGCCAAATAGAAAGAACTAAAATAACACAAGCACAACAATTATATCGTGCTGAACGATCTTTAAGGGTCGGAAATATAACATAAACATAAATCACATAGCTACAGTATCTTCAGTTATATAACTTCAGTATCTTCAGTTGACTACCACATAGTAGTAAAATTAATTGAAGATTATGTAGCAATAATAGTGAAAGTGACTACTAAGACAAATATTTTACCCATGCCAGAAACTTTATCCAGCATATGGGGATGTCAGATGAGTCACATCCTATACAATGACATGCTTAAGAAGACGTAATATTAATGCTATGAATGAAGTTGTAAT